ATATTTGCTTCTCTCGACCATTCGGCAATATTTCGGACTTATGAGTGGTTAGAAATGTTAGTAGGTACACATGTCCCTCTACCATACCAGATCGATTCTGCCCAGGCAGAATTGCGGCTACAAGGGCATGTTTCCAAATCGGTCACAAATGTTTCCACCATCTCAACTACTCTGAAACTAAAATGAAAACATTGCCCCAGAGCCCTTTCTTAACATGTTAGACCAGCCAAACTTCTCAGGGACACTTCTGGTATCATTACCAATCGATCCCAATTGGTTTCGGCTCAGTCCAAGGCATTTTGAGACAATGTTCATTTTTTGTTCATTTCATTCATTCCATGAATCAGGGAAATATTTCACAGGAGGCTTAAAATGTAAGTACTCATGCCACTGTATCATACCAGGGCAAATCCAACTCAGTTCACGGACATATACAGCCAAAAAAATGTTTCCAAATCGGGCACAAATGTTTCCACGAGCTCAACTACACCAAAATGGAAACATTGCCCCAGAGCCCTTTCTGAACATGCTAGACCCACCAAACTTCTTAGGGACACTTATGGTATCAATACCAACCGATACCAATCGGTTTCAGCTCAGTCCAGGGCATTCTGAGACAATGTTCATTTTTTGGTCATTTAATTCATTCCATGAATCAGGGAAATAATTCACAGGAGGCTTAAAATGTTAGTACTCATGACACTGTATCATACCAGGGCAAATCCAACTCAGTTTACGGACATATACAGCCAAAAATATGTTTTTAATCCTGTCACAAATGTTTCCACGAACTCGGATTCAACTTCTGACTTCAGATGTAACACGCCAAAACCAAAGTATTAAAGCTCTTTGGCAAGCATCGAGTACGATACGACGCGCAATTGTGCTTGAAGTGACGACGCGCACGAGCGATAAGGAGCTACTTATCGCTCGATCGACCGAGCGATAAGTCCGCGCGGCACCCGACTACCATGAGCCTTATAGCGGTTAAAACAGTGCCAGTGCCAGAAAGCTTGTTCGTCAAATTTCTCTTCTCGAAACTGACGAAATTTTTCGGGCAAAACCCTTAGCTTAAAGAATTTTATCTGGCTGAAAACGATTTGAGAGTGGACAAATTCTTGGTACCTCGGAATACTTGGTACCTCTAATTCTATTTTAGCTGACATATAACCAGCTCTATAAATTTGGTTTCTATTATTTATTTCGGTTAAACTTTTGGGAGGTAGCAGTGGAGAATGTGGGATGTTTTTGAATAGTTGCCAAGCTTTGCCAGAAAGTTGCACATATGAATAACACCTGAACAGCAAATGAGGATTTTCTGTCCAGACTAAAATAAATAACTGTTAATAACTCCCAGCGAGGAACCTAAGATTCATAATTCGAACTATCTATCATTTTCCACAGACTGCCGTAAGTGTATATTCATTATTCAAGTAGTTTATTATGTTATATTATACTTGAAAAATAGAGTTAAGTTATTTAATAGCTTCTTCCGCACCCAAACCTCTCATTAATTATTGAGACTGTCTGAAAATAAACGTAAGTTAACCTAATTATGAGGGTTCACCTATTTTAGTACTTCAACACGAAACACAACGGTATTCGGTCACCTTACAATTTTAAATGCTGGTTGCATTTTTTCACAATTTCATGTTTTTAATCACAATCAAATCACCTATATTCCTATAAACAATGCCTTTTTTCTATAGTCTCATCACTTATGATGCATGCCCCTTTTCAACATTACCATAGCAACACTAACTAGTTACCATAACAACAGCCCGTTATCTAGTTAATTAACCCCGAATCCCCCAACTATCATCCAACTACTACCAAGCAATAAAAACACGATGATAACAAACATCTCAGCTTCCCCCTCTCAAAAACCCCTGTCAATAAAACCCTAAAATATGCAAGGTATTCATATCTAGCACGACAATCACCCCTTTGAACACCTCCAAAATTCTCAAGCTCCAACAATTAACAAGGTACTCATTAGTCAGGAAGTGGTCACATGACCGCCCAGCATTTCCCAGAAGCACGCCCTAATTCCTACCGGACCCACGATCATCCTCACCCGGCTACCATAGGATCACACTAACTGTTAAAAGATTGCAGGATTAACAGCTGGATTTGCATGTTGAGCGGAAGTTGTGACGGCCCCCTCTCGTATGTGATACTTTCCCCTGTCAGCTCTACGGATAACAGGGTTTCTCTCTCGCTGATGATATAAATTTGCGAGAATTAACAGCTGCCAGGTTTATATTGTACAGTTACCATGACAACAGTTTTATAGCGTCTAACGTGAGCTGGGTTGGTGATGAGTGAAAGAGATCAGGATCCTGATCATGTGAGGGTAGTTACCATAGCAACACTAACTGGTTACCATAGCAACAGTAAATCAGAGGGAGGGTAGGCAGTCATGTTTTTTGTGATGAGAATCTGGGGGAACGGTACTTGGAAGGGTTCCCGCTAATCTTGGAGATCTGAAGAGAGAAATTTGCGCCGTTACGTGTTGTCAAGTGGTGTGACGTCACGTCACAATATGCCCTTATATGGTACATAATTTCGCAGTGATGACCATATTAGGACAAATCACGTGGTGCTGCCCCCCGGAGAAGAAGCCGACAGAAGAAATCAATTGTGACAGGGCCGGCCCTAACAGACATACCGGCTACAAGCTTTATAGTAACCGTGGTAACCAGTAGACATTCCTGGTATAACAGTTAGTCACGTGATTATACTTTATAGCCACTTGTCAGATAGTTACTGTGCTCGAAATAGCACCAGTACAACTGAGACCCCTTAAAAAGTAACTACTCTGCAGAACCTGGAGCGTGGAGATTTTATTTGCTGGGAGTTTTTAATAACGGGGCGGATTCTAGATATGTTGTATCCATGAGTGGAGGGGTTCTAGTGCTTGGTTACTGTCCTCTGAGTTGCTACATTGAATTATTGTACGTTTTGATAATGAATAACAGGCAGATTCAAGATTCTGTAGATTCGTGAGTGTGTGGCATGATCGATATCTCATATGTTTTATCCTACATACCAACAGGCAGGTACTCTAGATCAATAAGTGAAGTTATTCCAGTTCTCTTTCTTTAGTGATAAATACAATAGATCAGCAGCTCTCTTGGAGGTGGAGGGACATAAAAAGGTAGCAGCCCTATAACTTGTCTTATAGCAACACACCGCTACTACTTATAGCAACACACCGACCTGCCACAACAACAAAGAAGATCTCGCCTCATTCTCCCCAATAAAAAGTGCAATAAAAAGTGCATCCCATTGAAGGAGAAACTGCACCAGCTTGGAGCTAAATTATCGAGGGTCACTTCTCCAACCCCCTTTGTGGGGAATCAATAAATCAACTCTCAGTATTTATAATTCAATACTTTACCAAGTATTGTTGTGTCAAGCTCTTTTTGTTGTTTGCACAAGAGTCAGAGCTGGGCACGTGTTCATTGTTGCTAGGTGACAGTTGAGTCAGGAATGATGACAGGTGCAGCAGAAGAGGTATTGATATTGTTTGAAGTAGATTTATTACCCAACAAGGGGCAAGCTATCAGGAGGGAATTTTCTTATCGACACGAGCCCCGGAGGGGGTGTTCTAAAGTTCTAATAATGATATAACATTCTCATAAGTTCGGTTGATCATATTGTTTAAAACAAAACATTTACGAGAATGTCAGTATGTGCTTATCTTGATTAGTTTGAAAACTTTGACCGGTCATGTACAATGTTATACATATAGTAGTAGTAGTATAATACAAACTGTAACAATAACTTCTGGCCCAGGATTCATTTCTAATCACATATCCTCGCCCTATTGTCGTCATGGTAGCATGGCCTATCCAATGTTCATTGTTGCTAGGTAACAGCCCTAACCACTGTTCTTCAGCCTCATTTCCACTGGCTACTCCTTAAGGAACTCCTTGCGCTACAAACCTTACACGTGCCTACCAGAGATCACGTGTAACCGTGATAGAATGTCAAACAATAACCCTGCACGCCCTATATCAATCAGTTCTCCCCACTCACAATCAATCAATCTGGAGCACGTGATCAATCTACTGGAGCACGTGCAACTATCAGGAGGTTTGCCGTATATTCCGGACGGAAGTCTATTGTTCCCATGGTTACCACGGAATATATCTCTTTTGTTACTATGATAATCGAGGAATATCGCTTTCTCAAATCTCAATCAATTTTCTCATCAAATCTAACAGCTACTCTCCCGGCTATAGGGTCACAATGAGAATCCAGGCTACTAATACACCACCGTGATCTCTACTTTGTCTAAACTTTAACAGACATATTGTCGGCTACACCATACTCCATAGTTAGGAGTAGCCGGAAACCCCTCCTAGGGATCACAAAAGCACAGTGTTCAGATGATTGGAGTACGCAGGAAAGAACCTCATAAAAACATGATAAACGCATAGTTTTCCTAACACATCGCCCTCCATTCTATTTTTAGTTTAATTGCTGCACGACCGTCGACCGTGCTCCAAATCTTGAGGGCCAATTGCATTTTCAACATCATAGTGCCATACAACATTTAACAGCACGAACTTTTTCAGACACACAAGGTATTTTATGCAGGAGTTGTTTGAAGTTACAAGCTTTATACTGCATTACTCACATACAGACTAGACAGTGTTTCCACATATTTAAACGTACTCTAATACAGAGTTAAATACCATGTTTCAGATTGCGATCACGTGGTCAATTATTCTCATAACCCACCCCATTATCCTGCTCTAAAGACCATGCTTCAAGTTCATGAAATGACTTCATTTCTGTAACCAACTATCTTCATGTGTAGATCACGTAACCATAGGGTAACTATAGGGTGACTGTTGCTAAAGAGGGGAGGCGACAACAGTTGGGAGTAAGGACTGTGTTCAGTAGGAGGTAGTTGTGTGATTTTGTGTGAAAAAAATCCCATTTTTCACTCTTAGCTACAGGAAATGGTTAGAAAAGATACACTCATATAACATAGCGCAAGTAAAATAAGGTATATTTACATATTACAACAAATAAACATCAAATACAGCCTCAAAATAACAACAGAACTAAGTAATGAGCGCTAATTACTAATTAGTATTTAGTAATAATAGCACTATTTATCAAATTTAAAAGTGCGCTCCAATAAGTTAGCGTCTCGTCAAAGTACTAAAGAATATTTTATATCTCAGACTAAAGTCATCGAACAGTGAAAATAGATGGCGGCACGTTTAAATATGATTTAAATATAATCTATGCTAATAGAATTTATTGTTTTCAGATAGATATCAAAATACAGATGATTTCCGACTTAAATCAATAATTTGATAAACTTAAATTAAACTAAAAGCAGTCACAACTTGACAAATGGATCAAGCCACAATTACGAGCGCATAATTGTCAATGTTATAATTAACGAGAGAAAAGTGAAATTAAGAAACAATGTAATAACTTGCTCAACAGAGAAAAACACCACGTGACATGACGTCACACCACGTGACATGACGTCACACCACGTGACATGACGTCACATCACGTGACGTGACGTCACACCACGTGACATGACGTCACATCACGTGACTAAAGATAAAATTAGCATCAGCCGGTTCATCACGTGACTTTTAAAAGAGAAATTCTAAATAAACTTTAGATCAAATAAATTGTTATGTACAACAAGTCAGTTAATAAAGCAGCATTAATAAATCTCACAGCAAATTGTTGAGTCCATTTATCTTCTCAGCGGAATCAAATAATCAAATAAAGTCTTCAATCGTTATCAACATAGTTCCATTCATTTTCACAACATTGTTCATCAATTCAACATCAGAACTCCTGAGATTCCATCACAATCCTTCCAATCTCTCCTGGACAAATCTCAAAATCCTTGTTTATCACCATAGCAACAATAATCTCATAATTCCAGATCTTTCTCCTCAGTTAACATCAATCTCCTCCGCGGTGCACGTCAACTCATCCGGCACATCCAAATAGAAATCACTCGGTCCCAGATGCTCCAGATCCACGCCAGCCTTGAAGGTGATATACCCATTATTAAGCAGGGCCTGTGCTATCGCCATTATCATCCAGTTCTTATCGACACGCTGGGACAGCCCCAATCTCTTAGTGATGGGGATAAGATGCACACTCCTCCTAACGTGATACACGCTCTCCACGTTAAACAGGACTCTGATAATACAGTCGGCACTGTCCTGGGATAAAGTGTAGGGCAGATCGTTTGCTTCGTCCATTTTCTGTCCGCCTTGTCCGTCCGGGTCGGTGATATGTGTCCCGTCGCTGTTGTAGAGGTGCCCAGCAGGGCGGGCTTTAGAGGGACGGTAGCTTTGACGCTTGCACTCTCGTCTGCGTTCCCTGCACGAGTCTATAATATGGTTACGAATACCTTGTATTCCGAAACAGAGCTCAGGGATGCAGCAGACTGGGGCTAGTTTCTCTGTGAGCTGTTCGAGGACTTGGAGGTCTTCCTGGGAGAGGTTCTGGGATTAGTACTAATTATTGCCGATGTTAAATTTTGTCATTCCTAATTAGTCAAGCAGTACTAATTATTACTGATGTTAATTTTTGTTATTCCTAACTAATTGATTCAATAAAAAGAGGATCGATGTCAGCTCCACAACTAAATAGATCATCAGATCCACATAAGTGAATTATAATTAGCTTGTATAATAATAATTAACTAATTAACAGTAACAGAGGAACTGTGAGCTAACCTGTGAGTTCCGGTCCGCATCAGTATAAAAGAAAGGAGGAGGGTCTCTGAAGACAGTCCTACAAGCTCTTTTGATCAGGTTCCTCTTAGTGAGGTAGTGGGAGTGGAGACGGGGGTTCACTTGTTTCAGCCGCTCTTGGGACTCACGGGTCAGCTTCCCTCGGCAGTTTACCTGGAACAATTGACTGTTATAAAACTGGTGTTTTTGTTACGTGATGGGGTTGAATAGTATATGCGTGATTTCGTGGTTTTATTGTGAATCTTGTCGTCTTGATCATGATAATTGAGTATCGTTATTTCATGAACTTGGAGCGTGTCTTTATGATGTGATACGCTCAAGCAGTTTACGTGACAAGGAGCATCATGCGTACTTAAATAGGGGGGATCTGAGAATTTGACCATTTGAATCTGAGAAATTCAAAAAATAAATAGGTCGAGACAATAGAACCTCAGTTTTTAATCAATTCTCCGTACAAATTAGCACCACAGACAGCAACGTAAATGATAAAGGAAACCTGCCTTCCAGAACTAATATTACTAGCAGGGAGATTGAGGGAGGTTTGACTTTATTTAGGTATTAAACAGTATCGGCAGGGAGGCAGAGAGGCAGAGACACGCTATATGATGGGCGAACTATTTAGTTGCACAGTGTTTAACGATCATCCCGGGAAGAAGCAATCATCTCAGGTCAGGTGTGCAATTCTGCCGCCCAGAGTTTCAGCAGTTTACCAGTAGTCGATACAGTGGATCAGGCTCTTAACCAATTAGCTGTGGCACTCGACTACGACGGGAATTGTAATTGGTTTGACGGTGGTTTTAACTTAATTTTATTGATGAGACAGCACTGTAGAGGTAGAGAGAGAGAGAGATCATGTTCACAGGCACAACCGTACGAGATTTGCACGGTTGATTATCTTATATATATATATACATATACTATATATATATATTCTATATACTGATAGTGACTAGTTGAAACGTTCCATCTCCGGAACACATACTATATATTAAACGTTATCCAGCGGCTTTCCCAGCTCGAGCTGGGGTGTATAATACAATGCTCGGTATCCCTCTACCCCGACATACTAAACAGGGTGAGACGACGCAATCACGGGTTATAATTTAAACGCAGTGTATAATAGCCAGACAGGGGGAGAGGGGTATTATAGCAGGGTAAATAAAGCTGTTTTCTGCTATCTGGCTGTTAATTTGTAACCAACTCTCTTTAGTATATGGGACCACCCGCACCACGGCACATTAAATTATTAGCAGTGACCGTCCGATATTTAGCTTCTCCGGGGATCAGAGTGCTTCACTCCGAGCTTTAAAATGTTGCCAATAACGCGAGCTGGTTCAGTGAAAAAACAGAGAAAAGTGGTCCTATTTAGTGGCGGTGGTACTGGTGGTGGAGTGTGTGTCTGATTATTGATATACTATCAGGATTGATTTATCAAATATAAATATCTGTGGGATATTTTATCGGTGGAAGTTGGTTACTGGTTAATAATCATCAGGGTAAATGGTCGGTCGGGATTTGTAATAACCCAGTCAGGATCTTACGGAGCCGGATAAAACTGCCATACGGAGCCGGATAAAGCATCTCGTGGAGCCGGTGGAACAGCCGGTGCTTACAGTTATATCTTTATTCGACCAACTAACAGCTTCCTTAATGAGCACAAGCCAAGTGGGCGGAGTACGCGAAAACGTCAACTCTTAATTAATCGTTGATCGGGAGACAGCTGATTTGTTGCTGATATCTGGGGATTTTATCAGGTCACATGCTCATATCAGGGGATTTTTCGTTAAATATCGGTAAATGGATAAGGACACAGTCTGGTTTGGGAGGTGTGTCACGTGACCAAGGATCATTATGTGAGCAGTACGATATTCTTCTAGATCTTCACTTCCATGATCTCAAGGTATTTAGATTATAGATTGGGTAGGTAGCATACAACATACCAGTAGCGCAAGAGCAATATCCTGGTGTACCAGCACTACCATGTACTGGTACAGTAAAACCCCCATTTAAAAAGGAATTGACCGCGGTATATCGGGTTTTTACTGTACCAACTTTATCCCCCAGTGCCTGTTTTTGGTCTGTGACCCTAACTGTGACCCTAACTGCGAGGTTTGACCCTGGAAATTTTAATTGTGACTATCAAAAACCAACCCTCCTCCCCAGTCATCACTTCTCCATAGCATTACCAACTTTACCCCCCTGGGGCCTAGGCCCGTCTTTGGTCTTTGAGTTTTTGACCCTCAACACGACCGTTCGCGTTGTGACATAGTGACCACATAGTGACCATTTAGTGACCATCTATTAACAGCTCACCATCAAGAACACCAGCTCTTGTACACCTTCCAGTCGTGACAAGTTTATACGGATCATTCGCCCACCTCCCTCCTCGCCAACATGCACCTATGATTGTTGACGCTAAATTTCACACAAAATTATTGGGAAGGGTCGCTCCTAAATTTCAGTATAAAGTTTGCGTCATTTAGCCGTATAGGGAATAACGAAACACTGTGTCTATGTCAAGGTAAAAAAAGCAGGCGAGATGGCGGCGCTGTGATTGGCTGTTAGGACGAGATGACGGGCCGTGATTGGGTGGTTGTCAGGGACATGCTATCTGATTAGGGGCGGGTAATTGGTGCTTAACAAGGTGCTACAATGCTATTAGCGGAGCATTACACAGCTCATTAAATCGCACGTGGTAATGCAGTGGCGCGCCGCTCATTGGCCTGCCCTGCACGTGCAACACTTGTCATGGCAACGTAACACAGCCGCCTGTAGTGGACCTGCTAATCTATATAATAAGAGGTCACGTGATAGGCCCCATGACCAGGGATTGTACTGGTACGCCTGCTCATGCACTGACACTTCTAACCAAGAGGAGATTGCACAAAGTGAATTTAACGGGGTTTCTAAATTTTCTATTAAGAGGGGTGCGTCATGTGTCAAGAAGGAGAGGGTGGTTGTATAGAGAAGACAGAGAAAGGGACGGTTACAGTAGGTAGGGTGACAGCTGGGAACTTTTCACCTGGCTTATAGGGGTGGTTAATAAGTTTAATGGGGTGTAATTGGGGGAAGAGCTGGTGCAGGAGGAATCATGGAACAGGGTAAACTGCTATATAATATATTTACTTAATTCTTGCTATTATAGGAGAAAAAGGCTAATATTGTTCGAGATGGCTTGATCCAATCATAGTTAGAAACGTTAGAGGAACAAAGGATATTTGGTGTGAGCTTTGTTTGGTGTGCAAAGTGCAAAACGGCTTTGTTATTTGAAATATCTGAATGCGTTCTTGCGGGCGAGATTTCTTTCAGCACTACCAATAATGAGTTGGAGAATGGAGATATCAGGTGAAGATACTTGATTTTCATTGGATATCCTGACTCTACAGGGGTTACTTAACGTCTCAGAATTTAAAACACCATCATTCATCATTGGGAATCACTGAGCTCATGAAACAACTATACCGAATAAACAAGCCTACTTATTGGTTTACATAATAATGGGAAGTTACCATTGGTTGTCTTGGTTACCATTGGTTGTCTTGACATCATATAACCCTTTCTCATTAGCTGACTCAAGGATGAATATTGATAAAGTTGACAGTCCAGATATTGGGTAAGTAGGTCTCGCTCGTGTGTTAAGCCGGCTATCACGTGTCTTCCATATTGGTCTCTGATTGGTTGTCAGTTGGAAAATCATATTATTCTTTATGCAGGCAACCATTTGTTTCAACATTTTGCTGAAATAACAGCAAGGTGCGAGGGCGAGATTTCCAAAACGAGAGAAAAAGTTCGCATTGTCAATCAGGGTTTGGTAACACGTGACCAGGGTTTTGTTGCCATGTGACTATGGTATGTTGCCATGTGACCAGTGTTTTGTGTCATGTGACCAGAGTAAGGGGTCCCATTCTTTAGCTCTATCTTTTTCTCACCCCAGCTCGCTTCCTTCACTTGCTCATTTTTGTTATTATCAGAGGGGAGAACATCCACCAAAACCTGATCCAACCACAGAATATCAATTACGAGCCGATTCTCCATTACGCACGCCAATCAGAACAGGAGAAGAAATACATTGACCGATCAGAGAGCAGCAGGAAGACACGTGACAGCCGGTTCTTAGAAAGTGGGGGAAATGTGTCAAGTAGAAAAGGGAGAGGCAGGCTCTATGAGCAGAAAAAAAATTTCAAAGGATTACAGAAATGAAAATTAACTGACCAGCGGAACCTTATCTCACGGTACCTAAATAGAGCTATTTCACTTCCATTTCACTTATTTCACTTATTATTGAATTCTTTTCTTATAACTCTAACTACATCACGACATTGCGATGGACATTAAAACGGTTAATGTTTATCCCCAAAGATCTTAAATTTGTGAAGAAAATGTTGCATTAAATAATTTTCTTTAAAAATGTTCTCTAAAAAAAACATAACTATTTCTCATTTTGTAACACCTTATGTTTCGATCAAGCCGACTAAATGGAAACTGTTGTCCACTAACTGACCTACTCCAGAAAACGGCCCTAACACGGACCTACACCTAGCTCCACCTTGAAAAGAACCAATCAGCAGCCAGAGTTAGCAACAATCCACCAATTACAGGGCAGTATCTACCGTTCCACCTGACACTGGTTAGGCTCATGATAGCACCAAACACAGTGCGATCCCGGTGAGAAGTACACCGCATTCTAGAGCACGTCTAAATCTCCCTCAGAAAACCTCTCCACCAATAAGATCATCAGATATGACCGAGTAGCCAATAGGAATTAAGCACGATCCTACCGGATCCACCTAGCGACACCACCACCTTTTCTTGTTTTGTAATTTTTAGACCGGCCCGACCCCTGGTACTGCTTGTTCACTCCGAGTTTGACCGGATAGTTAACCGAGAGATGAGGTGGTTTTAATGATGACAAGATCGTTAAAAAAGAACGGGAGCTTGCTGTGCTAGTCGGTGGTACTCTTTATACTCGTTAACTTATCTTGTTACTGAGGTGAGACGTAGTGTTGCCAGGCAGCGGTTGTGATTGGACGCCGTGCTGTGAGCTAGACCTTGTGTCGTGCAGAGCAGGGGAAACCTTTTCAAGCCTCTAAACTTTACTTGTTGCCATGGTTACACCTTGTAGGCACTAAAATTGTAATCCCTCAAAATATGGAGATAGAAAGATTGCAGGCGGACGTGGTGTGTGATGATTTGGTAACATGTTACCGCAAGGCAGGATGGTTAGCGGTGATCAGTTTGAAAACATTTGAAATATACTATTCCCTGGCGTTGTTCGACTATTGTCGACACTTTTAGCTTTTTAGGAGCTGTCGTTTAGGTTTAGTCAGGTTCTGGAAACTAATTTACTACGATATGGCAATATTTGTTGGATATGTTTGAGCGTTAGATACAGCCGGAAATGTAATGGGATTGAAAAATATTACTCAGATCTGAGAACGAGAGAGAGAAAGAGAAAGATAGTTTTGTTATAACGGGTTTTTTGAGCGGTTAGGTTTTATAAATATATTACAGGTCGCATATATTTATTGTGGATTCAACATAGTATTTAGTAGTTTTAGCTTAACCTAAAAACTTAGGGTAGTTTAGAGAGTATCTCTCTGCTGCGAACCCTAATCAATCCTAAGAAAAGAAGATATTAGAGCGTGTCTACTGTTTATGTTCACTGTTTCTGATCATAGACACCCAGAGTTCCTAAAGAAACGATGCTAAACACGTCAACAGATAGTGATCCTGGAAATGCAGCTGACTGCTCCAGTTCACTAAGAAATGAGACTAATGATCCTCTCCAGAGCACTCCTACAACTACAGTGTCTGAGTGAACTTGACAGGTCCCCCTCACTAACACTCTGTGATCCTGTCTTCAGGAGGACGCGCCGTTTGATCTGTTGCCATGGTTACACTGTCTTCCTGACAACTCCAACTCCTAACACATCTCTGCTAACTTCTCTCTCACACCGGATATTCCTTTGTGCGTGTGTGTTGTGCTGTATGGCCGGCCTGTTGCCATGGTTACACCCCCTCTCTCCACCAAAAACCCTCTCTTTTTCTCACGTGGATCTGTTACTTGCAGTCTACTTGTCTCCCCAAACTCACATCACCCCGTGCCAACCTGCTATGACAACCGCACGTGTAACCATGGCAACGTTCCGTCACACTACCATGACAACCCAACAGTGCAAACAGATAAGACAGAACAAGTTTACAAGGTGATCTGCAGTTTTACACGGGTCACGTGGTGACCCGGGGGAGTTCCGGGGTCTGATTGGGCGAGAGGGTGTCAGGTGGGCTGTGTCAGGTGGGCTACTCCTAATTAACAATCATTGGAGGAGAAGCTCTATATCTGCTCTAAGCAGGATCGGTAAAAAGTTCCCAGGATCCGCTCGCATAGTTCACAAACCTTAAAATAACGGCTACGTGTCACCTGCCACCGGGAAATGGCTGTGTGAACCAATTGGAGTTCATGGTAGCTGTCACGTGGGGTTTGGTAGCCAATCAGGGGTGGTTGCATGTGCAGTTCCACGCAGAGTTTCGTCTAGAAGGTAGTCAGGCAGATGGAAAGAAAAATTGGAAATCACATTGCAGTTAGACTGTTTGTTGAGATCGTCTGGATCCAACGATTAATTTATTATCATGACTTGTCAAGTAAAGAATAACTCGCTTACTTAACTGAAGTTTACTCAAATCATATTAGCGGGAAAAATTGCTTCGATTTTACGATCATAAATCGTTCACGATTCTAGATGAAACATTTGTTGGGATGAAAATATTTTTGAACGCACTACAGGGGCTCATCAAAGAGATATGTGAGATGAAGTGTTAGCTTTCTAAAATAATACAAGTGGATCAAACATATTCAGTGCCAATTTAAGATGGATTAAAAGTTAACTGTTACATTTTCCCGGCCGGTTTCTAGATTTATCCTGATACCAACTGCCAGCTCTGGCAGTATTCATACAATGTTTTGACATTCTCTTGGCTCGACTGCAACAGTGAAAGAAAAAGGAGGGAGTGTGGTAAGTTTGTGTCAACTCTTTTCAAAGCAAGAACCGACGACTCCAGATCTGTGTTCAGCATGGGGTAAAGTGATGAGACTAACAACTTACATCTTACCACGTGGTCTGTTTATACTCCACGTGGTCTGTTTATTTGCCCACGTGATCTGATTATTTGCCCACGTGCTTTGAGTTTTAACCACGTGGTAGGAAGGGCATCTGAAAGATCCCTGACTGCCCCGGTGAGATCAACCCAACTACCGTTATGTGTTTAACAGTGATGCTACTGGGAAACGGTCCTTTGACTTGGCCGTGTTCCGCGTCCTGTTTAACTCTTGAAATGGGGGAATTCCTGACCGGCACTAAAGGGAACCCCGGACAAAAGGAGTGAAGTAACATCACGTGACCAATTCTTAAAACGAGAAAAATACTAAGATTTCAATTTCTGAACCTCGCAAAAGGCCAATCCTTGGCTGAATTTATTAAAGTGAATCTGTATTTTATACTTTAAACGACGGATCTGTTTAAACCAGCTAAATGAGAGAGAGATGCCCTGAAAGATTGTAACTAGGGTCAGTTCAATCAGGTCCCGACAAAATCCCAGCACTTTGTTCAATATTACCGACTAGGAACCTCCCCCCTCTTCCACCCAACCTCCACCCTCTTCCACCCAACCTCCACCCTCTCCCGAAGAACCTCAACCATCTTTAGGGGAAGTTCCGGCTTAACACACGAAGTTACTTGTTGTTGATCACTTTGTTGGGGAGTTGTTACTTTGTTACACTGCGCACAAGGCAAAATAGTGAGGGAGTTGTGTAACTAGTGGCTGCTAGAATTAACTGTGGTAACTAGTTGTGTAACTAGTGGCAACTAGAATTAACTATGGTAACTAGTTGTGTAACTAGTATAGTGGCTGCTAGAATTAACTATGGTAACTAGTTGTGTAACTAGTGGCAACTAGAATTAACTATGGTAACTAGTTGTGTAACTAGTGGCTGCTAGAATTAACTGTGGTAACTAGTTGTGTAACTAGTGGCAACTAGAATTAACTATGGTAACTAGTTGTGTAACTAGTGGCTGCTAGAATTAACTGTGGTAACTAGTTGTGTAACTAGTGGCAACTAGAATTAACTGTGGTAACTAGTTGTGTAACTAGTGGCTGCTAGAATTAACTATGGTAACTAGTTGTGTAACTAGTGGCTGCTAGAATTAACTGTGGTAACTAGTTGTGTAACTAGTGGCTGCTAGAATTAACTGTGGTAACTAGTTGTGTAACTAGTGGCAACTAGAATTAACTATGGTAACTAGTTGTGTAACTAGTGGCTGCTAGAATTAACTGTGGTAACTAGTTGTGTAACTAGTGGCAACTAGAATTAACTGTGGTAACTAGTTGTGTAACTAGTGGCAGCTAGAATTAACTATGGTAACTAGTTGTGTAACTAGTGGCTGCTAGAATTAACTGTGGTAACTAGTTGTGTAACTAGTGGCAACTAGAATTAACTATGGTAACTAGTTGTGTAACTAGTGGCTGCTAGAATTAACTAGTGGTAACTAGTTGTGTAACTAGTGGCAGCTAGAATTAACTGTGGTAACTAGTTGTGTAACTAGTGGCAACTAGAATTAACTATGGTAACTAGTTGTGTAACTAGTGGCAACTAGAATTAACTGTGGTAACTAGTTGTGTAACTAGTGGCTGCTAGAATTAACTATGGTAACTAGTTGTGTAACTAGTGGCTGCTAGAATTAACTGTGGTAACTAGTTGTGTAACTAGTGGCAACTAGAATTAACTGTGGTAACTAGTTGTGTAACTAATGGCTGCTAGAATTAACTATGGTAACTAGTTGTGTAACTAGTGGCAACTAGAATTAACTATGGTAACTAGTTGTGTAACTAGTGGCAACTAGAATTAACTGTGGTAACTAGTTGTGTAACTAGTGGCTGCTAGAATTAACTGTGGTAACTAGTTGTGTAACTAGTGGCAACTAGAATTAACTGTGGTAACTAGTTGTGTAACTAGTGGCAACTAGAATTAACTGTGGTAACTAGTTGTGTAACTAGTGGCAGCTAGAATTAACTATGGTAACTAGTTGTAGTTGATGGTGAGAATTGTAGTTAACATATAATGAAACTTTTGAGGGTGACATGTTTGATGGAAGTAGAGAAATTGATGGTTGATTATTGAGTGTGGAGTGATAAAAAATGAAACTCAAACATAGAGCTATGCAGATTGAAACATAAAGGGAACATAAAGAAATCAAAACTAAAACAGAAAGCAATCAAATTGATACAGAAAGTAATACAAATTTAAAGAGAAAGTAGTACAAATTTAAAGAGAAAGTTATACAAATTGAAAGATTGAGCGTACCTGGAAGATATTATCTCCAACGCTGATAGTGGGGGGCGTGTGATCTGTCGAGCTTATCTTCTCCTGCTGTTCCGCCGCCCTAACTTTAGAGAAGATACTGTTCACGTTGTTTATCATGCTCGGTTTTATGTCCAGCATCATGTCACTGAGCGTCTGAAACAGTGGGAATGTTAACATGGAATGTTAACAGTGGGATATGTTAACATGTTAACATGTTAATATGAGTCATGAAACAATAGGATATGTTAAGGTTTGTTAGAGGTTAGATCAGTACTTAGTGTTCTTTAGAACTGTTATTATTCCTTTATTAGAACTGTACTTTGTCGTGGTATATCAATAATTTCCTTTAACGTGCGGGGATTGGTCAATGATTTTTAGTGAGATTGGCTGGTTTCTTTCGGCTGAAGTCGCTGAAAGTCTGAAGTAAGTGAATCTAAAAAACCTCCCCGGAACTTAATCAGTAGGAAATCTTCCAACTACACGTGTGATTTGGGAGTTAAAGTGTGTTACTATGACAACTTATCAAGAAGTAGATGTCTGAATAAAGTGAATATTGCAGGAAAGGAAGACTTAAAAGCTGTAGAAGAGTCTAAAGAGGAGGGGAAGCAGTGCGTGCTAAGTGTCAGTGAGGTCACATAGTTTCAGACTTTCTTAGCGACTAGAACAAGACAGTGAAACGTTGATAAAGTTTATGGAAATGTTTTGTTTTACACGGTTATAATTCAGGTTTTAAGGATTTAGTCCTATTGTAAATTACAATAGGACTAAATCCTTAAAACCTGAATCATTACAATTTGTAATGACTTGAAATATGTTCATGGATTCATCAAAATCATAGCCATGCATGTTTTATTTTTCAACAAATCCAAATTGTATGTGACTTATAAGTGTGTTAATGTTACACATTATCAGACCTTTCTAAATTTCTAAATTTACCAGAACGACTGTAAAACTTTGAGATACATTAAAGAAAAAAGCTAAGCTCAAACTTGGTTTATTTTTATAAATCCTAAAATTTCGGAGCGAGATCTTCCTACTTTTCCAAGGAGAACTCAGCCGATACCGTAGTATTTTTCGGGTAAATGAAGGTACTGGTAATATTGTGGCACAAATATTTCCAATTCTCTCGTATTTGTCGAAAGTGAAGACACTGAATTCCATTAGCGAGGTGAAGACAATGACTGTACCCGACACCCGTGACATCAAACTTTTTAATTCATTACAACTCCAACACTTTCACCTCACACAATAGATGTGGATTCTGGTAGGGAGGTGAAGCATGTTTGTTTGGCACGTGACAGCGATTTAACCAATCAGCTTCCACTATTATATTGACCAATAAAACCCCAAAATCACTGTCATAACACTTTCACCCTGTACAATTATAACTTTATACTAGCAATACAATGTGGGTGGCTGGTCCCCTTAGGGGCTGATACCAATGCAGTGAATATTAGCACGTGCAGTGAATATTAACACGTGCTGGGATATTGTGTCACGTGCTGGGATGTTGTGTCACGTGCTGGGATGTTGTGTCAAAAGCAGTGTTTTCCCGAAATTTCCCGTGCAAAACCAGTGCTTATACTTCTAAAATAGGCCTATCTGCAGACAAAACAAAAGTCACGTGACCTTAAATTCACTTTTATCGGGTGAGGCTACTGGAATACTGGCATGTGATTGGTCATTGTATTTCTGATAAATGTTCTGGTTGGTCAGTTAGTGCCGTGCTCCCATGAGTCACTTGACTGCTGTAGAAAACCAAAGAGGAGAAGTCATGTGGTGTGAATACTGAGCACTGATTGGATGATTTAAACCACGTGGTGGGGAGACTGTTCTTTGATTGAATGAGAGGGTGGGGTGGGGCAAAGTTGTGAATTAGGGGGTTTAAAAACCAGGTAATGTAAATATGGGCTAAAGGGGCAGCCACCTGTTGGCGAAGTAAGTCAAGTAAACCAGGGAATTATTTCTAACTTCTCAGCCATTTCCATTTTAGTCGCTCCCCAGTTTATTAACTGTGTCTCGACTCAACTAAACCTCAGGAATTAACTGTTATAGGAGTGGGCTACATAAGCTACATAAGCTGCATATTCCTACGAGTAGTTTAGATTCCAGCATATTATCATTTAGCCAAAATTACTTTCATCTTGGCTAAATGAAGTAACGATGACATAATTTACCAAGATATTTTCAAATCCTTGAAATGCTGTCCCACATAATCAGCTAGCTTTTAACTAGAGCTAAAAACGTGTCTTTCACCCAGTGGCTAGCTCTGTAGCAAGGAATTATGGTATATTTGACAAGTAAATTGTTTAATGAGAACCTGAAATGATAGCCTGATTTACATTTTAAAATCCATAAATTCCTACAAATCCACAATATGGTTGTTGTTTTCAGCTAATAACCAGAGAGTAAAAACATGAAATTCACTCTGTTAACTAAAATCGACAGTACCTTTGACAAGAAAATTGGTTAATTACCGAAATGCGCCAATTTAGTGAATATTTTCAACTCGTACAGAAGGACCATTCTGAGAAGACAGACACGTGGTGTGACATCATATCACATGGTATGACGTCATGTCACGTGGCTTGCAGGACCATGCATGGCATTTGTTGAAACTAATAACCGGGTAGAGTTGAAAACATGTTGTTCTCGATCACATGACATGTTGTTCTCGATCACGTCTTGTAAGGTATATAGTATTATGGTGACTTGTTGTACACTTGACAAGTAAATTGTTTAATGAGGACCTAAAATGCGCCAATTTAGTGAACATGTCAAGACCACCTGTTGTTGGCCGTGAAAATACGAAAAAATACGGAGCGATGTGATTGGTGGGCGAGGTTGGGTTCTGGCTTGTGATTGGGGACTGTGTTTTGATTGGGGGAGAGGTGATGGTATTATTTACATATCAGTATCTGTGAAGAAGGGCTGAGAATTGGGGGCAAGGAAAATGATCAATAGAGCTAAATGAATAGATTGTTGAATTTTAGAACATCACACAGCACGCTGATTTGCTCATTTACCAATGTATCACGATGTGTGGGGTAATAAAATAAAAGGGTAAAATATGTGCTAATATGACAGGGGAAATGTCGATGGTTACAAGAGATGACCGGGCAGCTTCAGGTTTACCCAATTATAAAATTAGTAGAACAAAAGTTTCCTCCTCTCGATCGATCTGTAATACAGATGACTCACGCCTGGAAATTCGGGGGAAACTTTTGTCAGATTTGTAGATTTATTCCCCGTATTGACACTTGGAGACACAAGTTTTAGGCAAGCGTTGACCAAATTTTAGCACGCTCTTTATGAGTAAAGATTTTTTGGCTTTTGGAAATGCTGCATTCCATGCTGACATAATTCAGGTTTCAAGAATTTGTTGTGTTCTAATCCATTGTAAAATCACAATTACGAAAGTCAAAAGCTGAATAATGTATCATCTCACCAAATTCAAAATTATATGTGACTGATCAGAAATTAATTAATAACTAATTATAATGATTACGTAATTACTAATTAATCATACGTTAAAAACGTACCGTGGAAGAGGGAGCACTGACGGGTGAAAGTGAGGCAGCATCACGTGACACATCACGTGCGGAGTCGTTGTCACGGTAACAGCCCGTTACCGAGGAGATCTGGGGGATGGGTTTCAGGACTTGTCCGGGCAGGATCTTCTGATGGTTATCAGCTGGGTTGGCGGCCACTCCCAGTAGAGACTGAGAGGTTAAATACGTGTTAAATATACGTACTTACGTATTGTTTTGCAAAAATACACATAAAAACGTAAAAACGTACACATAGCAAAATAAATCTTGGTAAAAATTGATAACTGAAAAATATCCTTCAGAAATGAAATTACCGTACCCTGACTGAAGAAGCTAAGGAGTGTTGAGAAAGGGCTCGTGCCATATCAGAGTAACTGTTAAGTTTAGACAGTGCCTCTTCTAGAGATCCGTTTATCTGAAATATAGTCACGTGACCTCATGGAACACGTGCTGTGACGTCATACTGATTCATGGCGTCATATCAATCGTTTGTGCTATTTATAAGTTTTGGCTTGCGAAAATTCAAAATATGCACTGTCTGCTTACTAGTATGTGTTCTCGAGATAAAATCACAAATTTATCAGCTTACTTGCCCATAACTGTCTTAAATATTAAATTATCTGACTGTATAATTATCTTTTTAATTAGATAATTATTGTGTGGTTAATTATTAATTAGTTAATTTATGCAACTTACCGGGCTGGAGACAGTGGAGTGTAGCATAGTTGGAGCGAAGCTGGGAGGTGACAGTCTCATCCTCTTAGGAACATGGTACAAATCCAGGTGAGAGGGGATGTGGGCTGAGGAGAGAGAAATGTTAGACACGTGGTGTGACGTCATGTCACATGGTGTGACGTCATGTCACGTGGTGTGCCGTCATGTCACGTGACAGCTGGTATATTTTGGTGAACAATATATATTGAGCTTAGCTGCAAAACATTTATGGGAGAGATTTAGGGAGCACCAAACCATTTTATTGTACAACAGGATAATGGGTGTTTTAAGAAATTAATACTCAGGCAGTCACACAATGGATTTTAAAATCGTTTTTAGATGTCCGATCTAGAATTGCAAATTTGGAGAGCTAAACTGTTTCTCTGTTGCAATTCAGGGACAATAGTGCTAGCACAAAGAACTCATTAATTTCATTCAGCACCCCAAAATTCTCTATCCCGCTAAAATAAATGTGTCTTCATGTAAAGAACAAAACTCAAGGAGTATCACTATTCTAAGAGGAGAATCATCAACATTTTTCATAAATCATACCAAATGATAGTAAGCAATCATATATTCAAGGAGCAAAACTACCTAGAAGACAATTGACAAAATGTATTATAAATCGTAACTATTTTAAATAAATGATATCGTAGTTTCTTATAACTAACCGATAGGAGCTCGTATAACATTGCTGGGGCTACTGATAATGGGGTTCAGTGGAGTCGGTATCATCGGTTTAGGAGGGGAGGCGATGTTCATCATAACACTCATAGCCGGAGGAGAGTTGGCACTGATAAGACCCAGACTAGAGGAGGAGGAAGTAAGGAGATGTAGAGGAGGAGAGCTGATAGGACTCCTTTTTATCTGGACAGGAGGAGAGGAGGGGGAGGAGGAGGGGAGGAGAGGGTGTGTTAGTGGGGAGGCAGGAGAAGAGAGGAGAGCTTTTCCAGGACTGCTTGCGGAGTGGAGAGGACTGGAGGAGGTACGAGTGAGAGGAGGAGAGAGACGAGGAGAGGGACTGGAGGTGGTGGGGTGGAGGGATTTCTCAGAGGGAGGTTTCGGGGAACAGTCGGGAGAGGAGAAACTTCCACCTGAAGAGATTGTTTGTTAACTTTCTTTATATAAGTTTAGTTATGTTACATATAAGTTATGTTATATATAAGTTATGTTATATATAAGTTATGTTATGTTAAGTTTCTTTATATAAGTAAGGTAATGAATATTTAGATGTACTGATAGATTCATCTTACTCGAATTTACCGCAAGAAAAAGTACGAGAATCACGTAATGAGTACTCCCACAGTGGTTCAGTGGGAGTGACAATCCTCCGCATGCAGTGCCAGCTACTAAACTAGCACCTTCTGCTCTCACAGCTACAAGATCACGTGATACTTCAGTCTCACCTTTCTTTGAAACGTGCTGTTCGCTTTGTAACGTCGGTTATTTTAATCAAGGTGCTTGAGCTGGACCAATCACAGCGCCGGACGCTTAACCACGTGACATGAATTGACCAATAGAATACGAGTATTTTAGAATTTCAGATCAAGTGATGAACACATGAGGAGATGTTGAGAATTTTGTATTTTGAAATGTGACAAGCGCGATTCAAATTCTAACATGGATGAATGTGAATGTTTTGCGGAATATCAATACCTTTTTCACAAGAAGATATCAAAACAACTGCTTATTTCCATCTTGAGCTGAAGTAGCTAAGATACTTGAATCTTTCGATGTTCCGATATATGCACTGGATTATCCATGACATCTATTATAATCTCCATCCAGGAGCGCAATATTTCACCTCAAACCGATAGCACCCATCATACCCAATGAGACTCCATCCTTTTCCCACGTGACACAGCTCCACCAATGACAACAGAGTATATACACCACGTGGGTTGCTAAGAGCAACCAATGACTGAAGCCTGGTGGTTATCATGAAGGTGAGAAAGAGGCGGATAATGAACAATGCGGAGAGGGATCAGTAGAATTATGTTTATACCAACTGGTGGGGTAATGCTCTTACAAACAACTCCCGGAGCTATCTATCTGTAGTCAATAACAAGACACCATTCCATGTAGCACAAATACTTATCACCATGACAATACTTATCACCATGACAATACTTATCACCATGACAATACTTATCTCTCCCTCCCTCCACAAAACAACACCTATCACTGGTGATGGTTTTTATCACCTTTTCAATCCTCTCTCTCTCTCTGTTTGTCGGCAGCTAACTGTTTGATAAACCCTTAACTATCTAACAACCAGTAATTCAGCACTTAGCAGCTATTCTACATCATTGTCCGCCCAGTAATCAAAAGTGCGCCGTTTTGACAGTCTTTTGTACGAAGGTGTGAAGGAACTTTTGCAAATGATTTTTTTAGAGAAAAGGATTTAAAAAAACAAGGGTAATTTACAAGTTTGTAGGCTTGTTAGAAGGTCTGAAGGCTCAAGATATAATTTGAGGGTAGTTAGATAGGATTGTTAACAAGAAAAGTACTAAAATAACGCTTTGTTTCTCCGGTAATGTTGATCTGTATAATTATAGCCATGGAGTCCGTAATTGGAGATGAGATGGATGGTGTTGTAACCGGTCACTTTTCTCGGTCCGATACCAAACCATGATTTCTACTTTTAATTAGCGTCTAGAGACTGTAAATACTTCAATAAACATGTAACATTTGTTTAAAGTCCCATTAGTGTAACAACAGATCCACACGGTTAGTCAGAATTTTAGGGCCTTGCGGTTCCTCCGCATGCAGTTCCAGCAGTATCATTCCATCATCTGTAGGCGATGTTGAAATAGGGGGAAGGGAGTGACTGTACAGTTAAATGAAATTGGCGTCTGGTATTAACTTAAACACGTACCCTGTGTAGACTGTACAACTACATGAAATTAAAAGGATTTTATTGCGCGCATTAAATTCATGTGAAATTAAGAGGTTGTAATTTCCGTACTGTCAGTCGACAGATCACACACGTAAAGGAGATCAGCGATTGCGGGTTGATTTAAAGCTGGCTTTTATCGGCCGGATATCCGTTGTAAGTAGCTTTATAAGCACATAAGTTTGCCAGAGGAATTCTGGGCGAAAAAATGGAAAAGCAAGGGTTAAACAATAAACTGTTAACTGAGCCGAAAGTAGTCTTTGTAGTCTGTAGGACTGTCCTGGATTTATCTGCTCTCTGACAGTCAGAGGTGGCTGTCTGGTCCCTGGATCTCTCTTTTATATTCATTGTGTCTGCAACGAAGTCTCATGATCCGGCTCTATAGTCAGGGAGGGAAACTGTTCTTGTGTCTGTAACTCTGTCCTGGATCCTGTTCTGTTCTGGATTTCTTGTGTCTGTAATACTAGGATCCTCGGTCTGCAGATCCCGCTATGTCTTTCTCACTTGTTTCTCAGACCAACTAGTGACAAAACTGACACTTCACTCTACGTCTAGTGCTAACTATTCTAATTGCTAATATCACTCCCTCAAATTCACCTCCTCATTGGAACACGCAGCCCACGTGCCAAACGCACTGCGGTTTGATTGGTCAATGTCAGACACGTGGGCAATGCATGCTGGAATTTAGCCGTTTAAATCAGCATGGGAACTACTGGAGGGTCGACGTGAAATTTCGACCCAAACAGAACAAAATCCGCCGCTGTTCCGGTAACGTCATCTTATGTCAAGCTCTCTTGATTGGTTGGTTTGTGTCAGGTGGTGTTTTACCAGAGTTAGGATTGGACTGTTACCACAGTTGGTATGGAGACGTGAAATTTCGACCCAAACACTCAAATTGCAACAAAATCTACATGACGTTATGTTATGACACATCTGAATATTTGAACGGTGAGAAAAGAGAAACATGCACCAGTTTCGTAAATATCTCCGTACAAATAAATTCCTCGACAGCGAGCCACACATTCCATCAACTGCAGGATATAGAATTCCTACAGCACCTTCAGCTCATTAACGATTCCAATTCAGAATTCTTACCGATTCTTACTGAATGACACCCTATGCTAGTGGGGAATATTATTATACCCTATTATATACCAGCAATATACCAGTGCCTATAATATCGGTACTGGTTTTAGGAGATATAAAAGTAGCGTCTAGCCAGAGAACAGAGAATCAAGCTCCTTGATTATAACTATTAACTTATACGCTGATAAATTAAGGCAATCGTCTCATAACACCAGGGTTACTGGACATACCACATCGTTCCCCTACTCCGCTAGTTATGAAGCTGAGTAGTTTATGAATTTCGAAATCTTTACAGCAGCCGGCAAGCATATTATCGGGACTCGGGTATATCCCCTTAGATTGCACCATCATTGTCGCTTCTCCCATATTTTAAATTTTTATGTCATCGTTCTTTGATGATCATACGGTCATATTTAAAGCTGATCATTCAAGGTATGGTAAAGGGTACACGTGCAGAGATGAAAGCGTCAAGATCTGATAAATTGCGGGACTCATTTCAGTGAAAATCAGACCTTGGTAGAGACAAATTATTATCTGGAGATTGTGGGGACAAGACAGGTTCAACTACCTCGAGAAGCAAATTGAGACTGATAACTAAGCAGATCGTGTGGTGTAGCTAAAGAGCCGATGGCGTTATCGGCATTTGTCGGCGGGTAATAGAAGGAGCAAATAACGTTCATCTTGTACCCTCCAAATCATCAAAATCTCGAGACTTTGCAGCAACCTCACTTCTGAGATTGTTCCAGCATTAGCACCGGGTAACAGAGCCACAAAGTCACTGATAATTGTCCGGTGAAACGACCCTGGAATGTGTCCTGAAGGTGGTAAAATTGGTTTCCAAATAAAAACCACATATTTTCGTCTTAATATTCGAGATAATGGTTTAAGCCGGGAAAATCCTGAACTCAAATTAATTGATATGATTCCTGTCCTCTGATTGGTCAGTTTTACGGATACTGACCTCCAATTGGCCGATCATGTGTAAGTCGGGGCGTGTCCCTCCACCACATGCTCAGTTAAGAGCACGTGTAAAAATCAAACCGTTACTAGCAGATAAGCTGCCCGTTAGACCCACGGAAACAGGTTCCATTTCACGCCCTACGCCCGCCCTAGCATGTCACCAACTATTCCGGGCCCGTTATCCAATCAGATCGCTTAGCAACGAGCACGTGGGCAGAACCAGCCAGGCAGCAGCCGGATCTGCATATCAGACATGAACTGGGATGGTTTTGTCGGGCTGAAATGCACTTAACCGAGCCCTACCCTGACAGTAAAGGGGACGTTAGCCTGTTAATGTGATAGCTTCACATCACGTGGCCACCCTAATATGGGCATTAAGTTGTTAATCTGCTGTATTACAACTGCTTATTGCACCTGCTCCGATTTCCTTAAAGATACATTATAATATTTTAATCGTTTCACTCCCGAGATTTCAGGTTTTATGTTGTGGTTGGAGCAAGGAGCGAGAGACCTCTTGACTTTCGAAGAAGCAGCTTGCAACCAATCAGGAGTTAGAACTGAATCAAACCAGCCAACCAGGATCCAGCATCGTGACTTAACAAGAGCCCCAAAATCCGAGCATGCTGGTTTTACAACTTAGACTCCCCGGCTCCCTCGATCCTCCTCCTTCCCATTAGCAAGTTCCCGACCAATCAGTGGACAGAGTTTGCACACGTGACACACAGATTAACCAATCGGGGAGCTGGATTGTGGTTCACAACGCCTCACCTTGTTATCAAACCGTTCTAAAAAAAGCTGGTAGAAAACCGGGGAGATCAGGGCCACTACCTGTTATTTCCCAGGGTGTTACAAATCAGGTGGGAGATTGGGGTCAGGTAACACTCGACCATTCAGAACACAGGGATTACATCACGTGACACAGATCAACCAATGGGGGGTAAGCGTGGGACCGGTAGTCTAAAAATCACATTATGCAGGGGCTGGGTCGGTGGAGCAACCAATCAGGACCCTGAAACAAGCCCACATGATATGAATTAACCAATAAGAGAGGGGTAAAATAACGAGATGTGAGGGTACGAAAAGCCCACCACACCCCACGTTAAGATAATGAAAGACACACGGATTAAGGGGGAGTAGGTTTTCTAGTGTCTC